CATAGCGTACGTATCGACAAGTCGCTCGTGGACATCGCTACGTAGTTGCCAATGTGCACCACCCATGGACATGCGCTAGCTTACGGGCCGGAATAGCGATCGTAAAAACTCTTATGGGCCTGGCCACTCTCAGGCTTCTCTCTGCTTTTAACGAAGCTTCAGCTCCTCTTATACGAATGTTCCGTCTATTATGTGAGTCTATGGTATAAACAAAAGCATTAAAATCCTAAACACAAGCTAGTTTTAGCAGATAAGCCTGAGAGCGGCCATGCCATTGTAGTTTCTTACGACGGTTTCAGCCGCTGGTTTTAGCCGTATTTCCACAAAAGTGGAACTCAAAGGCCGTTCTCCATTAAACTTAAGTAGCAAATCTCGTGGAACTGATCAATCACGTTGGTCGAATGGCTGATTTGACTCTGCAATTGGTCAATTCCACGAGATCTGCTATTTGCGTTTAATGTAGAACGGCCTTTCGAGTTCCACTTTTGTCGAAATACGGTTAAAACCAGCGGCTGAAACCGTCGTAAGAAACTACAATGGCATGGCCGCTCTCAGGCTTCTCTCTGGTCTTAGAATGGCGTATGGACTAACCGTTATAGGTCCAAGAGCCACAAGCGCACCAAACCAAACCAAACCAGCATTAAAATCCTATGGGTGAATTTTATTGATTCTAGAATAACTTAATGGGGTTATTGCTCGCATAAACAGGGTTTAAATCGAAACAAAAAGTTGCTAAAATCTTGTATATATTTGTCAAAATCTAGTATATGAATGAATGTAATATGAGTAATATGAGTAAAAGAGGTGAATATCAGTATCATTTCAAAGGCTGCAAAAATGCAAGTAGTGAAAAACGAGGACCAAAAGACACTTTGTTTTGATCTCCAGAAGACATAGAAAGGTTAGTTTATTATATTATTTGCTTTTCAATTATGTATAGATTTAAATCCAATAGATTTAAATCTAAAGATTTAAAGCCAAGTGCATGAAAAATGTTTAAGTAGAAAACCAATGTTAACGTTATCATTACATTTAGTTGAGCTTAATTGAAGGTTTAAACCATGTTTTATAATCAATTGTTACACAATCAATAAAAGTAATATATTTCTATGTTTCTATTAGTAAGTGTACAAACTAATTTGGTGCCTTTTTTACATGAGTTTACATTTATTTAAAAAAAAATTAAAAAATTATATATCAAACTTTAAAATAATTTTTTATTATTTCCAACACACTTCTACTATCTTTCAGGCAAGTGACAAATCCTCTTTTGAAAAAAAGGTAATAATGCTTTTTTTGACTTCCTCGAGAGATTTGAAAAATCAACTAGATGATGTTGCAGTGATTAGAAGATGATGATAATCTGAAGAAGCAAGGTTTGGAGGCAAGATCTGGAGAATAAGCTGCAAGCAGAAAAATTTCCTAGCTCAAGCTAAAAAAGACTTATAGAGTTGCTTTTGCCATATGTAATTACGCATCATCGTGCAGCATCGAATGAATCACTTGCCTAATTCCACTGTTGGTAAAAAATTTTTTTGTCTGGTTTATGAGTTAGGACCTTTACTTAAAGAACAATTATAACACTACAGAACAAATCATGTTGGTAACCTGAGCAGCACTTTTATTTAACTGGAATGCACTAAAGATGCAATGCCTCATGCTTTTTTTGGAACAACATCGTGATAACTAATGTTTTTTGAGATTATGTCGGCGGGATTATAAAGTATTATAGTACTTCTCAAAGCTTAAGATTGACATGTTTAAATCACCATAAAGCTAGGAAAAAATTTCAAATTGAACTAGAGTTACAAGATGTTAAAAATAAAGGCACCGAATTACTTTGTACACCTAACAATGAAAGCATAAATTTAATTGTTGTTATATAACACATTCAATTATCATTATATAACAAAAACTTGAAAAATAGAAATATAAGCAATATTACTGCTTGAAGGTCAAAATTATATGGGTAGCAGTCTGTAAGAATTATTTTCAAAAATAGTTACAGCTTTATAAGGTTACAAAATATGCAAACTTTATTTAAAAAATAACATGTTTTTAACTTATGAGAAAAAACAATATTGCAGTCACATACCATTTCAGATTATATTGTGAAAATTAAGTTACTTTTTCACATATTTCAATGATATTAGAATAACATTCTACTAGGTTAGGTTATCAAAACTGTCTTAAATCATCTTTCAAAAAACAGTTTTTACACACAACTTTAATCTTACTTTGATCTTACAGACAAAAATGCAAGCTAAACTACAAAAACCAATAACATTTCAAATATTAACAATATACAAAAAAAGGACAAGAACATAATACACAAAAAAATAATATAGTAGATTTGACGTTTATTGAAAAACACCTGGATATAGAAGAAACAATAGCAAAAGACATCAGACATAGAAAATTAGGGACACAAACATTTTCACGTTACTATTTTCTACATCTCTAAGTACATCTTTATTGACAGATAAAAAAATATAAAAGAAAACTATCTCATTTAGAACTAAAATAAGCATTAAAGAAAGCAAAAAAGCGAAAAAAGAAGATATTACTACATTAGAGAAGTTATTAAATACATATTTTCCAAGCCAAACATTCGAATTTAAAAAAAAAAAACAGGCACATCTGTTTCAAAAAGATACAAAAAGTAGAAAGTACAATAGCGATTTCTTTAAACAACATTCTTTATTCATATATTTTGCAAGTCTCAAGACATCGAGTGGATCTATTGTTTTTATTTATACTGTGATACTGATACCCTTACGAAAAGAACTATTGCCGATTACATATAAATAAAGTTAGTAATATAAATATTACTGACAATCACACAAGAATATTACTAGGTATTACAGGAATCACTAAGAATATTACTGGCAATTACACAGAATGCCAGTAATTCTTTCGTAATAATGCCGCAATATATTACTGCCAGTAATTCTTTTTCGTAAGGATATTAACCGTCAAACTGCAGACGTTTTTTTGGCATCTTCTATCCGTAAACTAGAATCGTTTATGTTCCACTGCATTTTTCTCTATGTTAAAGATATAGAAAAATTCTAAAAAAATTTACGTAGTATCCCAGCAAACACAAAATATACCTGCTACATAACGGGAGTAACATATAATGAGTTATTATACTTGATTTATATTAGGATTATATAATTTTCTCTTATTTATGCAATATAACTCTGTAATGAAGTAATTATATAGTTACTTATTGTTAGTCTGTGTGTGTGTGTGTAATAAAATAATTATATCGTTACTTACTGGCAACAACAAGATAATAATGTATATGTGATGTAACATGTTATATGACAAATTTTATGTTTACTGTAATGTAACAATTTATTTAAATTAACTTAACTTAAAAATCTTAACGCAAACTGTTTTTCATTATTTTTTTAGTTAAACAAGAAAAATTTATTTTTATACTATAAAAATGTCTTTTCCTACAAAACCTGATTCACAAAACAGTGATATCAAGAAGTAGCATCAA